GGCTTGTGGACTATTTGTCTCTCTTCACCCTCTTGGCTGAAAGTCATTGAAAATGTTCACATAATGTAGTCTTTTTTACTGATAGTTAAATAACTTTTTTAAAAATCAACCGTTATTTGGCATATCATACTAAACTGAATGGTAAGTCTATAGAAAATTTTTTGTGTAGTCAGAAGACTGAGTATGGCAATGGAGTTCACACAGGTCTGAATGGTACCTGACTTAAATATGGGAAGTAAAGGCATAGCAATGACCACATTACCCCCGTTTGTGTCAAAGTTACAGAAATGTAAGCTCAATTGTACCTCCACAAACAACCACAGAAGCATCATCATTTTTCCTGTTCATCCGCAAGACACATGGGGCAGATGAAATAGAGTTCATCTGTTTCAATTCAATAGGATAGTGTGGTCAGCATTATAATCTTGGTTTCTCTAACATTAGTCAGTTACAAATCTGGGCTGGGTGGGATCGGGGGCGTCCTATGGCCTCAAGCCGACCGCAAAATCACAGAATCAAACAGATCTCAGCTTCAATTTCAAAAAGGCCAATAAACCATACAAGTATACTGCTCTAATGTCGTTAATTAATTAAACAAAATACCAATAAATGTTATATTAAAAAATTTAAAGTAAAATCTGAAATTAATATACTCTAATCAGGACAAGTGAACTTACTCAGCAAAGAGATACAAATCATCTTTACTGCCCAGGATTGAAAAAGCCGAGGCACCATATTCAGTGGATACACGACCAGCACCTTCCTGTTTGGTGCCAGCAGGTACCTTCTGGAGTGGTATGGACCTCCCCACAGGTGGCTTTGACAGACCAAGCTTGTCAGCTATACGACCTTTGACACTAGTCACTGCACGTGCAGTACGAGCCTGCAAATATATTTAAGAAATTTCTTGGCCTTGTTAAAAAAAAAAATAATTATATAAAATTAAAATATTAAACACTCCAGTTTTTTTCCAATGCTTTTTAAGAAACCCTACCAAGCCCGGTGACAAAGTCTTCTTTGTTTTCTTGGAGGTTCTCCTCTTTCTTTTTCCTTTTGTCTTTCTTTTTCGCCTCTTTTTCCCTGTTGATTTTCTTTTAGTTTTGCGTTTAGTGGTTTTCCTCTTCCTGGTTGTTTTTCTTTTTGTAGTTTTTCTTTTGCGAGTTGTTTTTCTCTTTGCAGGTGTGGTGGTTGATCTGGTGGCTGCTGAAGTTCCAGGGGTTGGCTCTTCATCCTTTAAAAATTTGGTTCACAGATTACAAGCTAAAACTTTGAATACAATAAACCACATGACTACAAAATAATATTTTGTTCCTGATATTAAAAAGTACTATTATTAAAAAGTATATTTCTTAATTTAGAAACTTACAAATTAAATAATGCAGCTTTATTTATTTAAAAGAATGTTACCATAAAAGATTCATCTGCGTCAATCCTCTCAGCTATCCTCCTCCTCCTTTCTGCTCTCTCAGCTCTGGCATCAGCGATGATTCTTCTAACGCGTTCACTGATGCGAGTCCTGGCAATCTGTCTGCCTAGATAATGGGGCTCCTCCACAAGAGCTGGAACAAATTCAGATATATTTTATAATTTAGTGTCAAACATACAATACACTACTAAAGCATGGAGCTTTAGTGGCCACACATCAAGCTTACCTGCATTTCTTCTATCTTGGCAATCAGGACAAAACCATTCCTGCACAGGCACTCGAGATAACGGTGGATCAAGGCAATCACAGTGATACCTAATGTGATAAAATAAAATATTTGTAGTCATTACAAGGAAAACAAGTTTGTACAAAAAAATATACATTTCTGTCAAATTTAAATTATACATTTTTAAATTAAACAAATGTAGAATTAAAGAGCTAAATTCTTTTAACAAGTAAATAATCTGTTAGTTGTAAGATCTTTTTTAATACATGCATTTTCAAGCTCTTTGGTAATTTAAAATTATAAACCCTAAGCTGAAAAAATAAATAAACCCAACAACAATGATTTATCTACCACCTTGCAGTGTAAAGAACAACAAATGAACAAGAGATAAAAAGATATTAAAAAATAAAAATGATATTGAAATTTTAAAAAAAAACTACAATAAATTAATAAAATAAATAAATAAATTAATAATTTTAAATTCACTATTCAAGCCCTATTAAAACATTCAGTGACAACAATTTTAGGATTGAGAAAAGAAAAAGAGCAACAACATTTAGCAAGTGAACGTTGTAAATATTACCAAACTGGCAATGACAAAGACCTCTGACAATCAGTTATGAAAGTTCATTATCATTTTCTAAACATCAAATAAAATAAAGACAATATCTTAAACACAAAATATGATTTAGCTTGCTCCACTTTCATAACTTTGGGTATTTTAATTTTCTATTAGAATCTAAAAAAAGTTCATCTAAATGTCTTGGTTTAAAAAAAATTAAAACCAATGGATACTATTAAGTAAAAGCGATGCTTTAAAACGTTTCTAAAATTAGAATTAATGCTGTCGTTTACATACCCCAAGTCACAACCATCACACAGTAATAGCCTGTCTTCTCTATCAGATTGGCCACAGACCTCGCAGAAAGTTGGATCATCTTCCTCTTCCTCATTACCTTGTTTGTTGTTTTCAACAGGGATCTAAAATTATAAATCATATCACATAGGTTGCAATTTTCTTTGGAAAGATGAGATGGCAATTAAATTCATCAGTCATTACACAATTACCCACAATTACCAAAGCCACTAAACAGGGGTTCACATATTGTCCAATATTATGGCATATTCATCTAAACAATAAATTATATAGAAATGTTATTTTTTTAAATTTGTTTTCCTACTGAGATAAACAACATATACAAATTACTTTTTAAAAATGTTGCAACATAAAAAAATGACTAATAAAAATGTGGAATGACAGACAAACTAGTGCACATAAAAGCATATAGCACATGTTAGAGTAGACTTTTATCTAGGCCTGTTTACAGTTGCAATTTGTAAATGGACGTTTAAATAATTTTTTAAAATAATATTTTAATTTTATGTAGGCCTGTTTACAGTTGCAATTTGTAAATGAACGTTTAAATAAAAATTTTTTTAAATATTTTAACATGAAATTATTGAAGTCCAATACATATTTGTTTTAACAGACAAGAAAAAAGTAAAAATGTAATAACTAGAGAATTATGATCTAACCTGTTTGAATATTTTTTCTTCCCCTGCATGGCGGGCTAGAATAATATTAAATACCTGACGATCAACAGGGCAGGTGTTGGTGACCTGAGGAAAGCATTGAAATGTGTATTAAATAAATGTATAGCTTTAAAATAACTTACTTTCTGTACTTGAAGATTTCTAGTGCGTTTCAAAAGTCAATCAATAATATTTACTTTACTTTTAGTTTTGTATGAGATGGATAGATAGATAAGTGTATCAAACCTTAGACCACTCCTGTATACACTCCAAACAAAAGCAGTGGTCACATGATTCAGGTGTGCCAAAGTCTTGGTTGCGCAGTCTGTTGAGACAGATGGGGCACCTATCACAATTTTCATCCCCAGAGGAGCTTTCAAAAGCATCATCATTTGGTTCTTCATCTTCCTCCACCTCTTCATCCTCTTCACTATCTTCTTCCTCTTCTTCATCATCATCCTCCTCTTCTGATCCTTCATCTAGTAATGTAAATATGTAGTATATAATTGTGCTTAAATTTTTTTTTCAAAATTGGTAAAAGAACAGATTTCAAACATTACCTGTAACATGTAAAAAAATTATTTCAATTAATGTGTTTTAAATTATGTTTTATACATAAATCTTAAGGATTAAAATGGGGTATTATAAATTTTAAATGAGGTTTGAAGATATCGCGAAAGTGTAATCCTAAAGGGCTGACTAAAATATAAGATGGTAATAACTGAATTGAAAAATTGTTTGTGGTGGCCTACTTGATAAAAGATCTACATTTACAAATATTTGTTTGAATCTAGTGATTATTAAATCCAACTTCTATCTATATATTATATAATTCTATTCTTGGAGACGATAAAAAACAAGCTGTAAGCGCGCTCCCTACCACCCACCCCTACATGGTCTGGTGAGCTGTGGTTCACGCTAAATGTTTACAATTGTATAGCCGGGTTTAGTGATGGCTATTAGGGGCAGTAATTTAGTTTGAAACGATTTTAAACTTAGGGGAGGTAACTAAGAGGAGGCTGCTTTCACGAGGGGGGGGGGGGGTGTAGGGTAGGGGTTGGGGTAGTATCGTTCTTAACGACATACTGATAGTGTTTTAAAGCAAATATTTCCAGTGGCAGCATTGATACTGTCGAATTCACAAATTATGAATTGCTGAAAAGTAGAAAATAAAACAACTAAATAGCGGCATATGATATGCCGCAGGTTGGCTCGTATTTTAAAATTAGATAAGATCTTAATTGATATTTTTTGTATTATATAACCCAGGAACTACTTTCTAACCTTCATCATTTTCTACTTCATCACCATTCTCTTCTTCATCCTCTTCATCACCATCATCGTCTGTTTCTTCCTCTTCACTCTCTTCATCATCTGTTGATGATGATCCTAGCACATCTTCTTCCTCATTATTCTGCGCCTCCTCTTCTTTAATTTGTGTATCTTCTTCTTCTTGTGGTTCTGCAGACATTTTTTTACTAGAGTACCCACAGCTCAAGGATAGTTGTCAACATCTGAAAAGTAATAAGCCAGTTTTTTCTTTATACATATCACACTCTGGTTAATATTTCATTAATTTTTATTTTTTTTAAAGGTGAGCTTAAGCTTGTCAACTCATGAAAAAATTAGTATTTCTTGAAAACTTTTTTCAAAATAGTTTTCAGATACTGATACCACCAATGATTTAACCTTTTTTTCAAAAACCCAGTTCACTTGAAATAAGTAAATTTGTTCAAATTCAACACTCAATGTAGGGTCACAATTTACATAAGATAAACATAGAACACAAGAATACAAAAGAATAAAAGTCACTAATGTATTTTATGCATGTGATGTTTATTCATTTAGACAAAATAGGACAATAGTCATCACAAAAAAAACAAGATAAGCTAACTTTGTACATATATCTCAGCAACATTTAAATTTTACTGTGAAGCTGATCAACCTTAATCGCACTTCACAACTTGCACACTAAGTTTACAAAGCAGTCCAAATACTCAACTACTGAACAAACATCTACCTTATTTACTTGACACTAGTGCTTTGTTGTTTTTAGTTAATTTTTTCCATGTATTAAATTTGAAACTATATTTAAAGTAATTAAAAATTATATTATTTAAAACCAAAATTTAGTATGATTAATTTTAAGCTGGAGCATTAAATATTATATAATTTATCATTTATTTCTTTATACTGTCCTAGTAAAGAAAATCATCTTAGTTCATAATTTTCAAAAGGTATTTGTAATGTTTTTAACCAGACATTCAAACCATGGCCAATATTTTTTACATTAAATTATTTAAATAAGGAAATTATAAGCAATGATTTTTACATGTGAAAATATCCTTCACTGAGATTTCAAAAAAAAAAAAAAAGGGATTTTTAAAAATTGTAACTTCATGCAGCATTTGCACAGCAATCAATTCAGTTCTTTGAAAATCACTAGCAAAGATAAAAGAAACTTACAATACTGGTACAGCTGTGCACAGAATATACATTTAGTTTTACTTAAACTTTTTAAAAAAATCTCTAGTGAGAAAGAAATGGCGATCTTTTAAGATGAGCAATCATAGTGTTAATTTTCTTATTTACCAGACAACACAAACAATGGTTTCTTTTATCAACAAATGTTATATAAATAAGTAATAATGCCATATGACTAAGTTGTCAATTACATCATCAGGAACTAAATTTCAAAGTCACTTTGTTTAAATAAAAAATGATAATAAACTTGTGTTGAATATTGTACCAACAAATTCTACCTTCTATTTTTCATTTATTAACCAATATTTATAATTTTATTAAATTAAAAAATGTAATGCCAAACCAACAATTTATAATCCTTTTATAATATGCAATGTTGCCCAACCAGTTAGTGGTCAACTAGATAAGGTTTACAATAACAATACTGATAATAGTGGAAAACATCAAATTATAAGGGATACAATTAAAACCAATTAGATACTAGTTAGAAACACTCAAGGATTCCTTTTTTGTACGTGTTCAAGCTTTTATTTAATGTTTCGAATGACTGTCAGCAACAATAGTTTTGTGCTTTTTTTAAATTTTAAAGACCAGCATGATTGATTAAAATGATTCATGAGTTTGGAAACATCAATATCTCCCTTCATTTACTGCTTTTGATAACTTTTAATTACTTATGTACAATAAAGTTTAGTAATGTAGCTAATCTGGCCATGGACAAAAAAAAAATTTCCCTTTGATGGAGTGGAAGAAAAAGGCAAGAAATAAATAGTTTGGATCCATAGCCATTAAAGTGTGGGCCAACCAATGCTTATAGAACCATCCAGTTTGACCTAGTTTCCATTGCTGTTAAGCAGATTGAAAAAACTTGGATAATTAACCATACCATCATGATCTTAACACAATTACCAATAATTTAGGGGAGGGCAAGTTAGTTCTTTATTATTGCCAACCAAAAAAGTCGTACAAATTTTATTACTAGTATAACAAAAGTAATAGTTTTTGTTTGGGTCACTCAATAAGTGAACACTGTGGTACAGCATGAAAATGACTATGGGGATTATGATATGACCATGACAGTGTGGTACTAAGGCATTTTAAATTCAGCATTGTTTTTAAGTTGAACTAAGGATTAAATTTAAGGATTTTAATTTAAGGATTAAATTCTAAATTCAAAAACAATTTATATCACTATAGAATTAGATTTATAGTAAAGTAACCAATTGATGGGTTGTTTTTAAAAATTATTATAGAAAGAGATTCTACATGAGGCATTAGTTTGGTATTAAAGGGAGTGGTGATAAAGTATCCTTGGACTAAGAATTATTGTATTTCTTTTCTCTAAATTTTTAAATAACAAAACATTACAAGGTATTATTTAAATTATATTGGTAGGCTACTTCAAACAAGCACTCCTATGTGGTACACTAACTACAATGCTACAATTCAACGATAATGTTAGTTGACACACTAATGGCAATAAAATGTAAATAACGTACATCTAGACTTTCAAAACCCATGTTATATCAATCATGCTTTTAATACTTTTATTTACAAATTTATACAAATTTTGTAATATACAGTTTTATCAATTTATTATTATCTTGTTGGTTTTTTAGCTCTTTCTCCATTCTGCCTTACAGCGGATGAGGCAGCAGATGGTGCTGAACTATCCTTAGAGGCATTAGCGGAATCTTTAGGTTGATGAGCTTTCTTTTTCTTGCCTCCATGATGCACACCTTTGCTTATTTTGCCAACATATGCTTCTACTAATTGTTGAATTTTTTGAGGATTAATATTGCCACTTTTACTATGACAGACCTGTAAATAAAAAGACAGAAACATGATAATTATATAATCCTGGATTTACTTTCCTTTCTGCTAATTTAAAGCAGTCTGTAAAGTAAATATATAGCTATATTTGACTTTGGATAAATATCAATGCAGCTTCCCCAAGTTTTAAAAGCTTAAGAACCTAACTTACCTTAGGTACAGCCTTCCTGAGTATTAGTTTGTACTGCTCTTTTGTTATTTTTTTAGAACTGTAGAAAGGTTTTATTGCCAGTTTCACTTCATCAATTACTCGCTCTTGTAAATGCAGTTTCTTAAGATACTGTGGAAAATTTTTTTAAATATTAATATACATGATGTATATTAATAAGTAATTAGCATTTACATTCCAATCCACATCAATTAGCAGTATATAACACAACTCTGACTAACCTTTTCTTTGTTTGTTAATTCTACAGCTGAAGCAGGTACATCATCATCATTTAAATCCAATCTCCGCTTCCGAGGCTGACCTTTAGACTTATCTTGTGATGCAGCAGATGCTGAGCTAGATGTTTGTGGCTGTCCTTTTGGAGCAAGTTTTTCTATGACTTTACTTAGAGCCTTTAGGTAAACAGCAGGTTGTATTATGCCCTTATCAGAGGTTCCTACTGTTTTTGTAATGTCATTAGCATTTTTATTTGTACGCAAATCAGACTTGCGACCACGCCTTCTCTTATCATCTCTGTCACTATCTGATGAATTTGGCGAAGGAAGTTCTAATTCACAATCATCCTCCCCAGGGCTCATGTCCATGTCTACTACTTCAGTAGAATCTGTGAAATCACCACCACGATTACCTCGTACCTGCCTCATAGGCCCTGCAGACATATTGGATGCTGAATTACTCATTAGAGGTCCTTTTCCCATGAGTGAAGGTGGAACAGGCAAAGGATGCTTGAACATTTGTTGTGGTATATTCTGATCATCTCTATGTGCAGCCATTTTGGCTCTTTCAAGAGCTGGCAGAAGAGATGTTAATTGTGCAAGAGGTGCCATTGCAGAAATTGGCATGGGTGGTCGAACAGATGTGTTCATTAATGGCATTGCCTCCCTTGGAGGTGGTGGCTGGGACATCAGTGATTGCGGGAAATGGTGAGGAGGCCTGGAATTGTCTAATGGGAACAGTGGACGGGTGTCTGGTGTGGGCAAGAGTCCACGCCCAGAAACAAATGGAGGATGTGGACCAGCATTTTGGTGCATCATATTGGGTCCATTCACCAGAGGCCATGGAGGGAATCTTTGCCCAGGAGGGCCAGAAGGAAAAGGCAATAAGCCTGGCTGTTGCTGGGGAGATGGTGGCTGTGGAGCTGGTGGTGGTGGTTGCTGTTGAAACGCTGCATTCATCATTGGTAACTGTTGCATGGCTGGGAGGGGTGGAGGCTGTAGAGGAGGGGCCACAGAATCTAACAAAGGCCCAGGTGGTGGTGGAGAGGGACGAACTTCTTCTGGTGGAGGATGATCAGGTGGAACAGGACCAGGTTCAGGTGGACAAAAAGCAGGTGATGAACTAGGTGCTGGTGCAGAGATTAATGTCACAGCAGTAGAAATGGGTGTTGTAAAACCCTGTTCTGGTTCCTCTGCCTCCTCTGTAGGGTGTGCTGGATCATAGACTGATTCTGAAATTATTTTTCTCTGAGGAGCTCTAGAGACAGCACCATCAGTGTGCTCATCACGCGTTGGTGTTGCATCACCTTCAGGCTCTTCAGAGCCATTGATTTCATTGTCTATCTCAGCAGGGTTAATCTGAATTAAAGCACTGCCCCTTTCATTTCTTGACAATTCAGGGGGTGGAGGTATTGTTTCTCCATCAACTAACTTAGTACTATCATCTTCAATGTTATGATGAGTGATATCTACTCTGGATGGTGGATCTTCCTCTTCATCAAGATTTATGACAATCCTCTCCGGCTCTACAAGTATAACGTCACTAGATGCACCCTCATCTGAGCTGTGATGGCTATGGAAGCTGCGATGATGACTATTTGTTCTAAACCTAGAATTGCTGTCACTACTACTGCTGGATGATGTGGAAGAACTGCTACTTCTATCCCTTCTTTGGCGCCGCTGAGATCTTCTAACATTTTCTCTGTCATCCGAATCACTTTCTTCATTATCCCTAGGTCTCCGCCGCCTCCTTCGATGATTTTCATCTCTATTTTCTTTGTTTGAACTTGCTCTTTCAGAGCGCCGGTGTGGACTTCGAGAACGTGAATGTGATGGTCTTCTGGCTCGCCTTTCAGTTTCTTTTTCACGACTTCTCTCTCTATACCTTCGTTTAGATCTTTCCCTCTCCTTTTCTCTCTCCCTCTCTCTTTCTGATGATCTCTCTCTGGATTTTGTTCTGTGCCTTCTGTGTCTAGCTGATCTATCTCTAGAACGAGATCTACGTACCCTCTCAGCAGATTGAGACCTGCGTCTCCGTTCACGAGAACCACTTCTAGTATGTCTACGTCGGCGTTCATCCACTTCAACTCTGCGAGATCTATCTCTTTCTCTCACAGCTTCTCTGTCACGCTCCCTTTCTCTGTTTTCTCTTTCTTTATCTCTGCCTCTATCTCGTTCTCTCTCAGCCCTATTCTTTTCTCGTTCTCTTTCCCTTTCTCTCTCCCTGTCTCTTGGAGTGCCATGTCTATGCTCTTTATCATGCCTAATTTCTCTAGTATCTCTAGCTTCCCGCCTTTGCTCTCTAGTTTCTTGCCTTCTTTCATCATGTTTTCTACTTTTTCTGTGTTCAGTTTCCTCACCCCTTACCTCCTGACTTTCACTTCGTTGAATATCAACACTCTGTTCAAAACTTTTCACTGAATCTTCAGCACCTGAACTATGTCTCTTTCTATAATTTTTAACGCCTTTCTGAAAAGGTGGATCTTCATCATCAAACGACCGCAGTGCTACATTTTCCTCTACATCCTCCTCCCCTTCATCTTGAACAAAAAAACCAGCAAGAAAGGAAGGAAACTTTTGAGAATCATCATCACCTTGGTTACCTTCCTCTATTGTAGCAACTTCTCTTTTGGTTTTTTTCTTTTTTCTTTCTTTCTTTTCTCTCTTCTTGCTGCTCTTTTTTCTGTTTTCTTCCACGATTTCACCAGGCTCTCTTTGCTCTTCCTCCTGATGACTGCCACCAATATCAAACACATTTTCGTAGACATCAAGTGAAAGTCTCTCTTCATGGGCTTTTTTATGCCCAAAATTCAAACCTTCCCCCTCTAACTCCCCTTCTTCTCTGCTTTCCATGCTGGTTCTATCTCTTCTTATTTCTACAAATCTTTGATCCTCAACCTCTACATTATGCTTTTTCTGTCCCTTTTTACCTAAACCTTTTTTTAGTTTTTTACCTTTCTTCTTCACTTTTTTAGACCCAAGTTTCCTTTTGCTTTTTTTAACAGGCTGCTCAAGGTCATCACTTTCTTCCCTAAAAAGATCAACTAAAGCTTCTTCATTACGAGTATCTACTTCTTGCTGCCTTCTAAATCTTTCTCTCTCCTCCTCATTTTGGTCATCTTTTTGTTGTTGTTGGACTCTAGAATCACTATCAAGTGATTCGACATCATCTTGTTGATCATGCAAACTTCCTTTGTTCCCATCATCTATATTATTAAAATTAGACTCAAGCTTTGACCAAGAGTCTTCATCAACATCTTTTGGTTCATTCTGAGCATTAAATGGCTCCTTTTCCAAAACAAAATCACTATCATCAAAAGAAACCTCAGGCACATCACTATTCACATCATCAATTATTGAGTTTCTGGTATTATCATCAGTATCTATGGGACCTATAGATGGGCTAGACTTTGTTCTAACCGGACTACCAACACCTCCTTTGTCAACCTGGTACACAGCAGCGTCAACAAGTGGAGACGAACTGTCACCTTGAATGGGTGAACTTATTTCACCTTGATTGGGTGAACTTATTTCACCTTGATTGGGTGAACTAATTTCACCTTGATTGGGTGAACTAATTTCATCTTGATTGGGTGAACTTATTTCACCTAGATTGTTATTATTTTCAAAGCCTGGGATATGGGATATTTCAGCTTGACTCTCAAAATTTTGAGAGTCCCAGCGTCCATCATGGTCCTCATCTACTGGATCTGACTGTGCTGTTTCTTCTTTTTCACACAGGCTAGAATTTTCACCTTCTTCATCGCTTAGCGTAGGTTCAGCAGGATCATATTCAGGAGCTTTATCGTAACTCTTTCCGCTGAATGAACCCTCCAGATTTTCACTATTGCTAGTTACATTACTATCATTTTTTGAAAAGTCTACATCCAAATCATTAGTAGGTTCTGCTGGGTCATAATCATCAGTTGGTTCTGATGGGTCATAGTTATCTGATTTGGTAGATTGTTGGCCAGTGTTGACCTTTTGATCTTTATGCTCTTCTTGTTTAGCATCTAGATCAATAGCCATGCTGCCTTCTTCATCAGAAGTATCCCAGCCATAATCCATCATTATCTTTTGGGACTTGTCTTAAGGGTCAATATTTCACTATAACTTGCAATTCAAGACCACATCTGTAAAACAAACAAAAATCTGTAATGGTATAAACACTATAAAACATCAATGAAATGGCTATTTTAAAATACTAAACCAATTTTTCTTAAAAAGCAGTCCAATTGTGTGATGCATGGCCAAGCCACAATTTAGGTTAATTATTTTTGTGGACATGTAACAATAAACATTTAAATTTCTTTTGTTTTTTTTAATTTTGCAATGATCTTGATTAGTTTTAGTTGGAACTGATGCATATCTGTTGTGCACAAGCCATTCGTAGCTTACTTGTGCATTACCCCAGGATGTCTAACCGCTGTATAAAATTGCTTATGCAGTTTACCAAACTTAATTCATGAAAAGAAAATTCCTATTTGTATACTTACTAGTAAACTAAGGTCAACTCAATGTAAAATATGACTACACAAGACAATTTGTTACAAAAACACAGCAGGCATAGTGCTACCACACTATCCCTTCATATGTTAAGGCCACAAAAAATAAACTTAATCTACCCCATAAACCATGGGAAACTTTTTTTTATACATATAATAACAAAAATAACTTTTAAAATCCATTTTCCAGGTCACAAATTTATTATTAATCAAGTTTTTTTAAACAATAACTTTAACAAAATTTAGCTTGCAGCTCAAGTTCCATTATAAATCTACCTGCCTCTATTGGATAGTTAATCTGGCCAAAGTAAACGTGGAAAGTAAAGGCAAGGTGCTCAGTACTCGTCACAGTTTGTAGATAGCATTTAAATGCATTTAATCAATCCCATTTATTGATATACTATGCATTGCTCACTTAACATAAATGCAGTAAGTTAACAATGGTCAAGTACTAATAAAAAAAAACATCAAGAAGTCACTGTCTATTTGAATTTTTTTTCAAGAGACTTACAATAGAAAAATTCAATGAGCTTCAAATGAACAAAAAATATTCATTCAAGTGTCACCCAGAAGCCAAAAAATTAATCATTTTTTGTAAAGATGGTGTTAGCAATCATTTTTTTTAAAAATATTCTTGAATGTATATTAAGTGTTATGATTTGTGTTTAAACAAGGAATACATAAAAAAAAATGTTAAGATGTCACGCATATAATCCAATAGAATTCATGTGCTAACATCACTATCCAACAAAGAACACTTACATGGAAAAAAATTAAAAATATTTGTACATATATTAGATCTGGTACACTAAGATTTACATTAATTATTTATTATTGGAAATTTTTTAATGAAAAAGTAGTTGAATATATTTTGGGGTTTAACTGTTCTAAAGAAAACAGACATATATTTATGCTTATATTTTAATACTTTAAGCCTGTATATATTTTCATACTTCACGAGAGATTTGTTTTTGCCACTCGATTTTTTTTTCAGTATGTAGGTCAAAATCAACTTTTTATCCTTTGATTTTAAGGATATAAATTAATTGTAATTGAATGCCCTACATACTAATATTGATTTTTATTTATTTATTGAGGAAAGATAATTGTTTATAAAAATAAAAAATAAAAAATTGATTTCATCACTAAAAAAAAATAAGAATTATTTTTCTTTAGTTCTTATTCATAGAAAATGAAAGAACGTCCATTTTTCTACAAAAGTTATGGATCAGATTGACATCTTTAATTTTGGTTAATTTTATAACGCATTGACTCAAATGTTTAGATGCCGCTGTATGGCACTCCGCAGAGTTAAAAAAAAGTTTTGTAAGGGGGTTTACAAAAAAAATCTCTATAAAATACTAAATCAACTCATGGTAAATCTAAAAGAAGTAAATGCAATAAAAAAAGGCCTCTCTAGCGATATCATGACCCAGTTAGTCATTCGGAAAAACAAAGAATTAAACAAACCCAACTGAGAAAAGTCTCAAAATTATTCGAAAAAGCCCATTAAATATTTTTAAAATTACATATGATTATTTAAAATAAATATGGTTATAGCAAATTGTTTGATTTTTTTATGGACTTTACTAAAGATTGGATTATGTTTTTAGTACTTTTGGTAACTAAAAAAGGCAAAAACAATTTTGTTGTTTACATTTTATTACAAAAATGTAAACAAAAATGGCAGAACTTAGTCATATGGTTTGTTTTAAAAATTAATTCTATTAAATTTTTTTATCAGAACCGTTTTAAGAAAAAATAAAAGGTGTGGTTTTCAGAATATCGATCACTGCATTCCTGTTTGTCATTCGAAAGTGAAACTTTAAGTAATAACTTAGGCTTGAACTTGAAGAAAATAAACAGAAATGTAGCCTTGAACTCGAAAAATTATTGTCACTTTCTATGGGTTTGCAACTTCTATAACATTCCAAAATGAATTATCCACTTAAGGTTTTTTTCTATGGTTGTTTTGATGGCAAAATCCAAAAAAAAAAATGTATTCTAATGTATGTAAACAATGATGGTAGGATTCAGGTGAACTCATTGCTGTCAGTCTTATCAAGATTTAAAAATTTTTAATAACACATTTACACAATGGTCATAGTTCACCCAACATAGACCTAACAACTATCCCTATCCATCATCATTAAGTGATATGGTTTTGTTAGTATGAAGGCAGTGTGTGTTGCAAGACCAATGAAAATCAAATTGTACATGACAATGGAGCTAAAGTTTTTACAAATTGAAAAGGAAACAAACTGGAACAGCCATAGTAGTTTACCACATGTTAACTACTATTTTAAAAAATGATCTACAAAAGCTAAAAGCCAATTTTTCTAGTACATTTAAACACCCAACACAACTGACTTATTAATTATATTGACAAATAAGCAGCACATTTTTTATAAAACATTCCTAAACAATCGCTTCTAAATTAAGTCAAACTTAAATAATCAATACTGAATGCATTCAACAAAGTCATATTAATTTAAATGTCAACAGTACTAAGGGGTTTTAAAAATCTATTCTGGTACTACCCACTTTAAAATTTGAAAATGAGTAATAAAGAATTAAAGTATTATTTTTTACCAAAGTAATACTTTTAAATGTATTTTTACATATGCCTCAACAGCAACATAATGAAATAACATAAATATATTTTTATAAAGTAATGTGGGTTGTTATTATTATTTTTTAAACTGAATAAACTAGGTGCTAATTTTGGGATGCATGAGGTAGGCACTCTAACTCAAAGACAACATTTTAAAGGTCTATTTAATACACAAATATATAATTTTTCCGTATTTTACTAAATTACCAACTTATAACATTGTAAAAAGTCATACTGATGCATTTAACTTAAACCAGTAATGAATAAAGCTAATGAATTAACTAACAAGTTCAAGTTAACAAGGTCTATTTTTAAAAGTTGAAATTAAATTTAAATTTAAACAATAGGCCCTATAAAATATAAACAAGTAGCATTTCTAAATTAAAATTCACACCTCACAGGCTGAGGTAATAATTATCCCAAATATGTAATCTATAACTTGGTAAACCCTTTTATACCATAAGTAAAACATTTTCTCTTAGATAACATTTTTTAAATGTATTTCACCACATTTGATGAAGGTGGCTGTCATCACACAAAAAGACTGCTCAGTCGGGTCTCAAATAAATGGAATTAAAAAATTAACAAAATTGCTAATTTTTAAATAATAACTTTGAAACATGTTTTAAATAAATTTATTGTTTTTAAACTTAGTGTTTGCAATGGAAAAAAAAAATGTGTGCTTTAAAAAAACTGAACTAACTGAACAAACTAGATACTTACTTCATTCGACCACAACTGGCAATATCTTTTTGTGTGACAGGACAGCCTCCAAAATTCTGGGACGGGGGTTTAGCAAATGATTCAAAAAATTCTGACGAATGCCGCAAAAGCAGGATCTTATTTCGCAAGATTAGCCCTTTAGTAATTATAAGGGCTGGTAACTCTTAGTTGTCATTTCTTAAAGTAAGACAGTCGGCTTGATAAATGCGCAACAACAAAAAATATTTTTTACCCTATTGTATTGATTTTACCAGCTGTTAAGTAAGGCTTTTTGAACAAGGACAAGATTTTTTTAGAGAGTAAACTAAGTCACATTCTCAACTTCCATGTTGCTGTCAAAATTAAATAGAAATTAACACGTTTATGGCTGATTAAAAAATCACAATTATATGAGAAGCTCATGGTACTTGTAGGCTCCAGTAATCACTAAACATGATATATTTAAGCTACGTCAGAACAGAGAGCATGATTAAACATGTCTGGTAAACAAGATTAAATTAAAATATCAAAATGTCATATAGCCTACCAAAATAAAATTGGCAAGATCATTTAAAGTAAAAGTACTATGAAGTAAAGTACTGCTATGTTTAGATCTAGATCTAAATACCATAAAAAATTTTTCACTCTAGCATTAATTAGACCTAAAAGATAAAAGCTAATTTGTTACACCACTCTCTGGCATTTGGCTAGATCTGACACCAGCTATAATAATACAAGTGTAGGCCTAACACAAAGAGTAAGCAAGTTTATGGATGATTCCACTATCAGTAGGTAACAAATAGTGAGGTATGTGTTATTAACTGTTATGCGTGTTCGATTTGCAAATATAATTCAACAATAGAATCTTCTTAAAAGCTGTGTTAGATTACTGGTAATTAACTTAATACAAAGAAGACTTGCTTATGTCAATGCTAACCCTATTCCTAACCCAAGTCTCCCCATTACAACCTAACACATCTATTTTCCTTTTGTAAGTCTTCGGACATCAGTAATATTAATACTCTCAAATGAGGATACTGATGTCTGATAATAGACTCTTCTGAAAATAGGTGAGATAGATCTAGATCTAGACCTAGGTTGTTAGTAGGATTGTAATCTCATCTAGATCTATTTATAAATCTAGATCTGTGTTTAGACATTTAAGTCCAGTTGTTAGGCCTAGGGTAGGACTAGGATTGGGGTTAGCATTGACATTAGTAAGTCTTATGTGTATACTATCTAGTTAACTACCAGTAACCAGTAAAACTCCATTTTAGCGTATTTTATTCCCCGCTTCACGTTCACCTCCAGTTGAGCGTATTTTATTATTAACACAATCGAAATACACAAAAATGTCAGGAAATTATTGGGCTTATTTTATGAATTTTTGTTTTAGTTTTTGATAATTTACTTTTGTCACAACTAGAGAAAAATCCAAATTTGGAATATTGAATGTGCTATGTTCGTGTGTCATTAAAGATTTTCATGGCAATATGTAAGTACAAAACTCACAATAGCAAGGCGGTTAAGTTTGTATTGTTACAAGTATCTCCCATGCATGATACTATAAATAAACTTTTATAAACTCACAATGACCCCAAAACTGAGGCCAAAACAATTTCAAATAGCTATTGCCCAAGCTATGATGTATGCTGATAATTAAAGTCAATATGAACTCATGGTGAACCCTCCGTGTTGGGATTTTTCTCCTGGTGATGATCTTTGCTATTTAATTGGAACTGTCCTAATGCTTTTTTGTTGTTGTTTTTTTTTTACATTTTTTAAATTAAAACTCACATTCATAAAAAAAAAATAAGTAGGCCTAGATCTAGATCTAATCCTAGTGTTTTCCTAAAATGGTTTTGTGTGTTTCGGTTGTATTTATAATAAAATACGCTCAACAGGAGGTGAATGTGAAGCTGCAAATAAAATACGCTAAAATTGAGTTTTACCCCAGTCCCCCCAGTAACTTAACCCTTTTTTTTTACAAGATTCTATTATTGTGCCACTAGCATTTATTAACATAACAGTCTACTCTACAGACACTAAGAAACTTAAGAAATCCACCCAAAACTAAGCCCTAACCTACCTAGATCTATAGATCTAAACCTAATCCTTAAGTCAGTAAGTCTTGTCTTAAGTAATTCTTGATTCCAAATTCCAACTAATCTAGGAAGACTGTTCTAGATCTACAAAATGTTCCCTTAAGTTGAAATAGTTTAACTGTATGGTGCGGAAATCAGCCTACCAGTACCAGACATTACGGTTAAATATTCATAAATGAACCTTCCATGGCAAGCAAGCAAATCAAGCAAGTAACTTAAACTTATCATTTTCAAGTTGTTTGCTTTGCTGGATTGCTTGGCTACTGCTGTGGAGGTTTTTTAACGATAAAATAAGACAGCGCAATTTTGAGAATGAGACATTTAGTTAACTCATCATTAGACAATACTTAATTATGTTTAAAGGAAACTCCCTGTTTTAAGTAAATTAAATAACCTTTGATTGCAGGTGCAACAATGAGAAAATACGACACGCTTTTATATCACTTTCTCGATATCAGCCATATTTGATAAATTCCCCGGATGAATCCGATTTAGCGAAAACGAGACGGACTGTTTCGATACATGACGTCATTTCTTTTACTCTATCCTGTGGGCAAACTGAGACCTATATTAGGGACCTAGGCTACATTTTTAGACTATTTTAATTTAAAATGTAATGTTAATTCAAATATATATTATCATCTGCATAAGTATAGTACATAGAGCTCTATTAAAAATTAGGCATTCAAGAATACAATTTTTATCTACTATAGCCAATGCTATGATATAATTCTATAGGCCACTCAGTACTAGAAAAAGTAAAATTAATTACGTAATTAAGTTTTAGGCTTCTTAGTTGGGCTTATGAGGAGGTTTACTCCTCGTTTCTTTACCTAAACTAAAAATCTTGGTTTGCGCAGAGGCAAAGGCTATTAAAAATATGCAGGCACCCT